AGATTTTCAGTGTATCAGTATATCTTTCTTTTTCTTTCTGTGTATTTCATTCAGATCAGGAGCCTTTCTTTTATTGGCAAACTTCAGCCAGAGAAAGGACTATCGGTGGAGACAGTCTTAAAGAGGGGTGGTCATCCACATCTTTTTAATTTAACTATCAATTTTCAATGAGATAATACTATGTCCATACATAATTCTAAGTTATTTTAGTTCAGCCTATAGGTTGTCCTTTTTGTAACTCGACCATACAAGAAGAGTTGCAGTTCATTATGTGTTCTATCTAATATTTGATGTGATGGCTAGCTCTCATACTAATTTTTATTAGAACTTGCTCGTAAAAATTGATTGATTTGTAAGGGAAAAGTGTCAAAGAGTTCATATATACACATTTAGTCTTATATATTTAATTGTTTTATATATATAACCGATGTAGAATTGTAACTTTCACCCATTTCTGTAGTTGATGTGCACGACGGTTCACTCTATTGACACTGATCTAATAGTAAGTTTTTCCTTTGGCGGCTACTCTCACCTATCAGTATCCATTTTCCAATGAAATAGTACTATACTCATACATAATAATCATTTATCTTCATTAAACCTATAGGTTGTCCTTTGTGTGACTTGACCATTAAGAACTGCAACCCATACTACTTTTGATCCTATATTCGGTGTGGTGGGAGTTTTGATACCGATTGTTGTAAATTCATGGGTAGAAAGTCTATATAAACATATCTAGTCTTATATTTAATTGATGTAGTATCATAATAGAAGCAGAATGCTGGATCGCCTTTTGTGCAAGTCTTTTTTAGTAATTGTGTTTTAACTAGGTCTCTTCCTTTGTATTGAAACATTTTTTTTTTCTGAACTCCTCTATATTGAACCTTATGAGAGAAATAATTGTAGTGCAGGATTTTTCGAGTTGAACATCTCTTAAGGTGGTGAACCGTGGGAATGAAATATCGATATTGTTATTTTCCTCATTAACACTCACTATTAAAGGTGGTGACTTCCACATTGTGCGTCACCAAGAAAATAGGAACCGATGCTTAAGCCATTAGGTGAAAGTTCCCACCCGAGGAAGCGAGCGATTTTAGGTTTTTTATAGTTAGTAAGTACGCTTCTTGTATTCTTTCTTTTGTAAATTAATCTAATGCTCGTCATGGAAGAATAAAACCCATTCCAGGAATTAAAAATAGCATCTCCAATCCTTATTTAAATCCTTTTATAAGTTTAAGTTTGAGTAAAAACATGCTTAAAATCAGCTTCAATCCTTTATTAAAACTCATATTACATCAAGGGTGACTCAAATTTTTACTCAAATCAAGAGATTTAAATTTTTATTTAAATCTTTAGTGGTTATTTTTTGACAATTTTTTAAAGATCAAATGATCAGATTTTACCTTTCCTTTAAATTTGAGTCAAATCAAATGTTTTCATGCTTCTGCGTAATGTTGTTAATCAAATTGAGTTATTTGGGTTCAGCTCATTTAAGCTTGGTTTGTTTTTTAAACGAGTTCGAACTTGAATAAATTTTGAGGCTCGTTTAAAAAACAAGTCTTATAAGTTTGGTTTAAATTCGACAGACTTGACTTGTTCATGTTTAGATACTTGGACTTGACTCGGGCTTAACTTGTTTTGGGTTCATTTAAGTTTGACTCATTTCTTAAATAAGTCAAATTGGAACAATTTTTTAGGCTTGATTAAAAAATAAGCTTTTTAAACTCGGTTTGAGCTTGTTTGACTAATAGCCCTACTTCTACGGATGGTGGTTCAACTATCGTTGCTTTGATTTTGTATATTTTGTTGTAAATTTTACTTGCCAAGTCTGACAAGCTGGCCCCATATTTACCCTTTCTTAGATGCAAGTTGGCTTTGTGGCACAAATAAATAGAGGATTTTATTGAGCGAAAAATTAGACAATGCTAATTATTGAGTATTGTTTTATATTTTTTTGGGCCCCAAAACAATGATAAAAGCATCCACATATGTGATAAATTGAGGTATAATATAGTGAAAATTAGAAAGAAGTCTCCCTAGATGAATTTATTTGGAGATAAGTCTTGTAAGAAAAATTATAAATAACTAAATCCATGTTTAAAATTATATGTATTGGTTAAATTATTTTCCTATTTTGAAAATTGTTATTATTTAATTCAATGTCAATTAAAATATGTCAATAAAATTTTTATCATAAATAAAAAATTCAAATTCAAAACTCTTTCTCTTTCTCTTTATATATATATATATATCAAATTCAAAGCTCTCTCTCTCTATACTCTCTCTCCTTCTCTTTATACTCTCTCTCTCTATATATATATATACACACACACACGTTAGTTTGTTATGGAGATGATGCAAGTATAGTGGCTTTTGTGTGATGGTGAGCATTGTTGTGGAGGTGATGACAACGTGATGGTTGGCGTTACTTGGGAGGTGACGATGTGTGATAGTGCCAGTGCTATGGTGAGGAAAGTGGTAGTCAAATATATATATATTCAAATTCATTTTATTATTTTTTTTATTATGTTACTGTTCATGTTATTGCTTTTGTTGAGTATGTTACTGTTTATGTTACTATTATTTTGAGCATGTTACTATTTTTGTTGAACATGTTATTACTATTATTTTACTAAATATTAATATTCAATGTTACTATTTTTTTTTTGTTTTTGAGTATTATTATTTTTTGTGTTTGAATTTAAGAGGAATAATTATTGCTAAATATGTTATAGTTTTTGTTAAGTATGTTACTGTTTTTGTTATTTTTAAAAATATTAATATTGAATGTTTCAATTTTTTTTTATGTTTAAAAGTTAATATTTTTTTTGTGTTTATATGTATTATATTTTGTTCAAATGATAATTTTTTTTTGTATTTGAATATTATTATTTTTTTATTTTAATGTTATTATATATATATATATATATATATATATATATATATATATATATATATATAATATTAATAAAATTTTAATGTTAATAAAACTCTTAATTTATATATGGATATAGATAAATACGAGAAAAAAGATTTTAATGTTAGTTAAATTTCTAAGATTTGAGAATTTTTAATTTAATTTTATTTTTAAAGGGAAAGGATAGTATGGTAAAATTGACAAAAAATGAATTTCATAATAAATAAGTTTTTTTGATAGACTTAAGTCAAAACAAGTCTATATAAGGAGACAGACTTTCAAATTTTCCAATAATGTATGACTAATAAGCAAGGAGCAATCACTCATGCAATCACGTATTTTCGAAAAAAAAATTATTGTACAATTTGCACTCACTCCTAGTTTGTTGATTTGACATCCGGTCATCAAATCCATGGGTTTTTTTGGCCTATAAGAAGGCTCGGAGTTTTGTATAAGAACGTGTGTAAATTTACTAAACTGATCGATAAAATCTCAAAAAAAATTAAAATTAAAAATGTGTTTAAGTTTGCTCCTGTGGAGCAATGTGTCAAATGAGCTTCCAATGAATGCAGCTTAATCAAGTTTGAATAGCTTGTTTTAATCTAAAATAAAAATAAATATTTATTTACATTCGATGTATTATTTAAAAATTTGCTTACAATTTTTGTCGGTGTCTCTCTCTTTAGAATACCAAGAAAACTAATGTTTTTATATTTACGTAAATGTTATTACGTAGTGAATTTACGTAAATGTTATTATAAGTGAATTTTTAAATAATTTAAATAATAAACATTTAGTAAAAAAAATATTTGTTTTATACATATAGATAGATAAATAAATACCACTTTTGTTTACATTATGTGAAACTTTATTAATATCTTCTCTTAGTGTTTGTTTACTAAATCTTGAAATGTTTACAAAATTAATTTATATATATATATATATATATATATATATATTATTTTACAGTTTCAAATTAATTTTGTCTATACGTGTAAAACAAATATTTTTTTGGGTGAGAGGACTTAAGAAGCCTTCTTCCCTCCCTAAATAATTAATTTATAGATTAATAAAATATTTAATTAATCACTTTTAATGAAATTATTCCATTTGACTTATTTAACTATGCTATTCAAAATTATATATTAACTTTCTTTGGCCCAAATCATATGGTACGATTATCTCCGCTCAAAACTTATTTATCTAATGATAGACTAATCGTACTATTTCGAATGTAGAATTTGATATAGAATTCAGTAAGAGTAGTATTACTTATGGCTTATGTTTGATTTTAAATCTTTCAATCATTTTAATCAGGTAACCAAATATAAAAAATTTGTTTTGATGTATTGTTTAGGTTACTTATGAAATGGAAATGTTTCGATCTGTTTTAAAAATATAATGAAAAAAAAAATAAAAATATTAAAAATTATTTTTTCAAAACATTAGTTGAAATATAACAAAATATCTTGAAATATTTTGAAATAATTATATAAATGCATTGAAATATTACAAAACATTATAGAATATCTCGAAATATTAAAATTTTGATTTTAATAACGGATTCGTTTTGATCTTCTTAAAAATAGAAATGACTGTTTCAAAATAATATCTTAATCCTTCCACATAACAAAGGTAACCTAAAAATGGTGTGTTTCATCTTTGTGAGAGAGAAAGCTTAAAGAACTTTTTTTTTTTCTTATTTTCTCAAATAAATTATATTATAATTTTAATCTGTCTAATTAATCTTTCAATCCATCAATCTTCCCCGAGTTACGCCTTTTTTACATCTCATCTCATTATGTTCTTTTTTTTTTTTAATGGGATCTCATTACCTCAAAAGTTCAAATTATTAACGAGTCACGATCTCAGGCCTAACGATGTGGACCCGGGTCAACAGTCCATACGTGGCCCAATAACCCAACTTGGAGACGAAGCAATGCTAAAAATCAATTTTTCATCGTTGCCGACGGTAACAAAGTTATATATAAAAACCTTTCGCCGGGTCTTTCTCCCACTCCGTCGTCAAAGCCCTGCTTACTATCTCTCTCTCTACGTAACCCTAAAAAGAGCATCCTGACTGATGGAGGTCGACTTCGCTGAGTATCGATTGCGCTGTCAACTTCGAGGCCACGAAGACGACGTCAGATTTTTCACCACTCTCGCTTTTATCGATGTCTTCTATTGATTTTCGTATAAATATGTTTTTAATTATGAGAACAACCAATCTTTCCTTTTCTTGGTATCCAATTTCATTATATGAATAGATTTTTGTTGCATAGTATATGACAATGTTGGTCCAGTTCTGAATCTTTCGTTTGGGTCTTTAGAAGAATTGAACAATTCCACAAAATTTGCGTATATAATGAGTGATAACTTCAACTTAGTTGTTTTATACAGGTCGTACCTCTAGTTTTACTCTGACTTTGTTAGATAATCTTTAACTTCGTGATATATCTGAATGTGATAATATTGAAATTGCGGCGAACCTTTATTTTCTGGTTTTTTAGATTTATTGATCAATTCAAAATTAACCTAGATAGCGAATGATTGTAGGTATATGTCTACTTAATCAATTAATATAATGGTCTAAGTAGCTAGTTATACTATGGATACTAACATTATTTTCTGAAATTATTATTGCCAGGTTCGTGGTATATGTGTATGTGATAATGTGGGTATAGCGACTTCTTCAAGGGACAGAACCATCAGGTTCTGGTCTTCTAATCCATTGAATAATGGTGACTACACTATGTCTAAGATACTGTTGGGGCACACTAGTTTTGTGGGGCCATTGGCTTGGGTTTCACCGAATGCGGAGCTTCCAGAAGGTGGTATTGTATCTGGTGGGATGGATACTCTAGTTCTGGTGTGGGATTTGGCAACTGGAGAGAAGGTTCAGACACTGAAAGGTCATCAACTGCAAGTCACTGGCATTGCATTGGATGGATCGGACATTGTATCATCGTCGGTAGATTGGTATGGTACATGTATTTTGCGTGGTTAAGATTATTGTTCTTGGTGGGAATTATGGGCACGTGCTTTGCAAGTTAGGACAGTTTTTGTTAAACATGGCAGTGGACTTTGTCCATAGCCATAGGTTTTCAAGAAATTTAATGATTTGGAATGCAATTGAAGTGCTAAATATTTGATTCATATTGCTTTGGTAATTAAGGGAGTTTAATAGTTGCATTTGTTTCAAGGTTCATACCCGCTAAATGGGTCTTCATTATAATGGCTTGGATATCTTCCAAGTTATGTTGGATACTATAATTTTTACCAAGTCGCAATAGGTTTGTGCTCTGCACGCATATTCCCTCTTTGGAATAATTTTTTGGGCTTGTTGAGAGGGACAAAGCAGACAAATTGTTGAGAGGGAATGGGGCAGCAGCTGTAACCCTTATTTCCTTCTTTTGCCAAAAACTTAAAGTATGAATTTACATAGTATTAGTTAGGGGTGGGGGTGGTGAGACAGGAGAGAAATAGAGAGGGATGGAATTCAAATCAAATAGCGTGGGACATGCACATGTTAACTTAGATACATATTCTCTGTAGGACTTTGAATGAACCCTAAAATTAATGCGTGAAAGTGTTTACATTGGGTAGAGCCTTAAGTAATCACTAGAAAGTCTCTTTCTATGAAAACATTGTATTCCTACATGCTAACTTTAACGGTCTGATGTTCAATACTCGCAATTATGAACTTTTCCATAGACTTTGTAGTTTAATGTTGGCGATTCTAGCCTTGTAGATCTCATATTTCATGCACCTGAAAGAGAGGAGACTTAGACTGTGCAGGTTCTTGATTAGGTATTTTGTTTCTGATGGAATAACTATTGCATCGGTTTAATATTTTTTCAGAATAACTTTTAAATTTATATGACTGTAGTCTGGTTGGGTAATGGTCCCAAATGTTGAACTTAATGTAGCTTGATACTTTTTAAGCTGAAATTGTTGTTTTATGAGTCTCATTTGATCACATGTGTTGTGCTTTAGTTTACCTGTCAATGATCATTCAAAGCATACAACTACTTGGCTGCCAATTACTTTCTTATAGTTTTTTATTGCTCAACTTTTTATGACATTTTACTGGATTGACATGATGTGTGATTCTGCCTAATGAGTGTAGTACATTAAGACGGTGGAGGAAAGACCAACCTATTGAAATTTGGGAGGCTCATAAGGCAGCAGTTCAAGCAATTATAAAGTTAACTTCAGGCGAGTTTGTTACAGGTATAAATTGTAACTCAATCATTGTATCCTATTGATTTTAAGGTATGATTGTGTAGACCTCTTCTTTTCCTCGCTTCCTGTTCTTTTCTTGAACTTTGAAGTTCTTTATTATCTTCCTTGTGATCTTAATCTTCAAGTTTAGTCCTTTGCTTAAGATATCCTGCACTTTAAATCCAGGTTCAAGTGACACAACTTTAAAGCTTTGGAAGGGGAAGACATGTGTGCATACGTTCGTAGGGCATACAGGTTGGCATTTTACATGTCTACATGTCTATCTTTTGGATATATTTGAGGGCATATTATTGTTTTTATTTAAAATGCTTATGATGTGTGTTTCTTTACTAATTGTGATGGTGATGGTTGGTGGAAGCTGGTTGATCTTTCGTATAATTGTTTGTTAATCAATAAGGTTCCTGGAAGTTGATGGCTAAACTAAAAGTGTCTTCAAAATGAGTCTTCGAGATTATTTAAATCCAAATGTTGACCGGATGTTGCTTTGATTCTTTTAAGACTTGAAGCTTTCACTGCTAGTTAAAAATTGATTTAATTGACGTTTTTCATATGATTTTTAAATGTACAAATCCTGAAAAAAGTAGCACGACAACACTCATAGTATATTTTTCAGGGAAGTCACGTCTATATTGGCAGAAATTTCCTAAGGCTAAAGCTAATTGGCAAGGTGTGAATTGCCCACCTGATGGGTTTGCCTTAGTTTTTTGACTGTCATCCAGGATTTGATGGTAGCCTAGATGGTATATCCATAGTTCTACTTTGTCCTGTATGTATTTGTATATATTAATTGTATGCGAAAAGCTTATCCTGAATACTCTGTGGTTGTCAATTGTTTTTGACTTTTCGTCTATATTTTGTTGTTCCTTTTTTTTACTAATCTCGTGGCTCTAAATGGGAAGTCTATATTGGCTAAGCATGTGTATGCAGTAGGTTATCATGGAAATGATAATGAAAACAGTTTGTAAGATCATTTTAGCCAATTGTTTCTATTTTTTTCCTTTATAATACAATATTTGTATTCGTAAAGAATTGTTTATTACGATAATTGAGTGCTGGAAATGGCATTTGTCATTAAAGGGATGTTTTTATCATATAAAATGAAGAACATGGCCCACCAACAGATCAATCCTATTGTTTATGATTTTCCTCCTTAACGTGCCCATAAGCTTTTGGGGATTTTTCAGATACTGTTCGAGGCCTGGCTGTGATGCCTGGTTTGGGAATTCTTTCTGCCTCCCATGATGGGTAAGTTTTTCCACTTTCTTTGATGTTTTTTGTTGCTTGCTTTAGTTAACCCATCTCAACTAGATTCTCAAGTCTTAATCACAAATGCACGTGTCTGCTTTGTTGGCCTCCTTCATTAGTCAGTTACGTTAAGTTTGATGTGATTGAAAATAATAATTCACTATAGTACATAGTTCAATCAAAGTATCGGCCGATACAAATACAAGTTAGTCGAGTCATATCCGACTTGACACCTTCTGAGATGATACTGTTACACGATATGTATAAACGCTGAATCTCGTACGACTCGGCCGAGTCAATCTCGAGTTATCGTCACCGAATCAGGCGATACGACTCTGCGACACCGTTGTATGACCTAAATCTCTAATTATGCTCAACATTTTATTTTAGGTCGTATCACCCGATACTGTGTCGCGACGCCATGATCGATGTGTCTCAGAGCTCCGCCTAGTCGATGACTGATATTGCGATTTTGAACCATGCTATAGTATGGTGAATTAGTGGCAATAGATGAGTAGAAGTTTTTGTCTGATGAATACTGTTACCAATGAGAATGTTTGTGATATGAGGTGTTTTTACTAGGCTCTAGTTATAGCAAAAAATTTTATAGATGCAACCCTATTCCTCCCATGATTCAAGGTCTTGGTATCGGCCATTAACTTATTGAACTTTGAGACACATCGGTTGTGGCATCACGGCGCGGTATTGTGCGATATAACCTAAAAGAAAATGTTGAACATGAGGAGAAATTCAGGTCATATCACGGAGTCGTGGAATCGTATCGACCAATTCAATGACGATATTTCGGCGATTGGGGATTGACTCGGATACAACTTGGATGACTCGGTTGAGTTGTGCGAGATTCGGGGTTTATACGTATCGTTTAATGGTATCGTCTCCGAAGGTGCCGAGCCGAATAAGACTCGGCCGACTCGTATAAGTATCGGCCAATATTTTGAACCATGATTCCTCTTCTACCTTCTCTACCCAATAAACATATATATTTGCACTTATTGAAGGAATTTAACAATTTAACTTTAGTAGTACAGTCATCACTTGTAAGGGGGATGGCGAATCCAATAATATATGAGTAGGGCTCTGCTCGTTTAGGAATTATTCTCATAGGAAATTATATATTCTAATTTTTTATCATTTTTGTGTTACAAGGATTAGTCTACGTTTGCGTTGTAAGGATCTTGGTGCCATGGTTGTCAAAGTATATGTTGAGTTCTTTGTTTTCTGATACCTTGGATTTAAGGCTAATATTGGACAATTCCATGCTAATTTTTCTTCTTAATGCATTTGTGACTTTTCTTTTGATGAGAAAAAAAATTATTTTATTGATGGAATATTATTAAATTAGGGAAGGAGGACAAGAAGTCTAACCAAAAGCATTACATGTGCAATGGCAACACGCAAAATAACAAAGGCTAAACATCAAGCAAAACATTCCACGCAGCCAAAATAAAAAATAGTGGGATTTCTTGAAATTCTTTAGTGATGGAGGCCCAAAAAGATGCTAAGAAGTAGCATCATTCCATAGCTTTTCAAAGACCTCACATATATTGTAAAATTTTTTTGCATTTCTTTCCAACAAAATAACCCACATAATAGCAAAGCATCCAAAAGTACATAAAGTGGTTCCCTTTTTATCTTTTCAAATCCATTTAAGACCTCAATAAAGATGGCCGAGAAGGGCCTAGGAGCCGTTCAACTCAACCCTGCGACATAAAACAACTTATTGCACAAAGATGGAGCAGCAGGGCAACTTAATGTTTTTGTGACCTTATCTTAGAAATTATCCTCAATTTGTGCATGCTTCTTTGTTTCACACTCGGATATAGCTCTATGTCTCTCCCAACCCCTTGGCTTTTTTGCCTCTTTTTCGAATAACAGTTTTTTGTCCTTCCATATCTAACATTTGCATTTCCTATTTTTTTTAATATTATGACAGTTCTATTAGATTATGGGCGCTTAGCGGTGAAGTGTTAATGGATATGGTTGGTCACTCTTCGATCGTCTATTCTGTTGATGCACATGCTTCTGGGCTAATTGTTAGTGGTAGCGAGGATTGTTTGGCGAAGATTTGGAAAGGTTCTCATTTTTTGGCCTTTAATGTTTATTTATATTTATATCTATACGTGTGTCCATTTTATTTGTTGCAATATATTGCTAATTCGGATTGGAGAATATGTGCATTGTATTTATCTTATCTCTTTTTTTTTTTTTTAAATTTTTTTGGTGAGGGGCTAGGGGTTAGTGGTGGTTGGTTGACTTTGTCTTGTTTTTGTTTGGCAATGTTGCATTAGTGCCGGACATGTGGGCAATATGGGAAACCAATTTTTTGTAGGTTCAGGCTCATATAAACTTTTTAAGCTTTGGGAGCCTCTTTATGGATTGTCTTGGTACCCATTCATAACCTACACCGTATGATCCCACCTTGAGGATGTCTTAGTGATTCTCATGGTCTTCTTTCACCTTTTCTCTGAATTGGTTGGAGTCTGTCTGTGGTAAGAGTGGTTGGTTGACTGTCTTATTTTTGTTTGCCAATGTTGTTTGGTTTGGAAGTCAGCATTATCTCAGGTCATGTTGGTAGTATGGGAAACCAATTTTTTGTAGGTTCAGGCTCATGTACACCTTTTTAGCTTTGAAAGCTAGTTTATGCTTGGCTAGGTACTTGTTGATAAACCTACAGTATATGATCCCCACCTTGAGGATGTCTTAGTGATTCTCATGGCTTTCTTTCACCTTTTCTCTAAATTGGTTAGAGTCCGGGCCATGACAATTGATCATTTTTTTAATCACTTTTAGAAGGCAAGGTTACATGTTGGAGTATTTTTTTTCATTCAAGGAACAGATAATTGAAAGCTTCCATAGCACCAGCCTAACTTTTGTATGACAGTTTTTTTGTACTTTCTGAATATGCCTGTGCATACTCTACATTTAGCACCATGCGCTATGTGTAGACATTGTTATTTAGTTCTAACTTCTATGCACATGCATCAATTTTGACCACAAAGTTCTAATGTTTCTGTTCTAAGTCATGCCATTCATCAAATTGTTTCTGGCCTCATTAATTATCCTTGAAAGCATGATGTGATGCAGACGGAGTTTGCGTTCAAAGCATAGAGCATCCTGGTTGTGTTTGGGATGCCAAATTTTTGGATAGTGGTGATATTGTGACTGTATGCTCCGATGGAGTCGTGCGTGTTTGGACTGCACATCAGGACAAGATTACTGACCCGTTAGAACTTGAGTCACATGCAAGTCAACTTTCTCAGTACAAGCACAGTAGGTATACCTTCCATCAATTTCTTCTTTGTTTTAGTTTTTATGATTCGGGGGTCAAACTAGCATCGAAGTGTAGAGTAATATCTTTTCATTATTGAGCTAATAATTATAGCCCTTTTGGTTATCAAAATATATAGATTATTTGAACTATAATTTTTCTTTGGTGGTTACATGATGTATTAGATGTTGTCTTTTAGGGTCTCTCTAAATTATAGCTCTAACTTTCTGTTATTCGTATTCTGTGTCTAATAATAGTGGCACTAATATCGCGAGTTAGATCATGAAAAACAATTCTTTTTGCCTCTAAACTATACCGATTATCAGTTTTGCTTGATGTTCATGATATGTATGTTGTTTGAATCAGGAAGAGAGTTGGGGGGTTGAAATTGGATGAATTGCCAGGGTTAGAGGCTTTACAAATTCCAGGTTTGATACTAATTATGTGATTGGCAGGAAACATTTTTCTTGATGCTACCAATGTTCCTATGTCTACAAAAATTATGATTCCCTTTCTATTGCAAGATGGATACCATGTCTGAGCTAAGGATGACGAGTTTAATTGAGTTGAAATTTAAGTTTCAAAAGTTCTACTGTAACCAAAACTTGGGAGATGTTAAATTAGCATATTATCCAATGCAAGTCTACTAGATTTTGGAATATTTTTACTCGAAGATGTGTGTTTTATCTGGTATTCATGTGGATTAACTTGAATGTATTTTGATGATCCGGTGATCAGGAACAACTGATGGGCAGACAAAGGTTGTCAGAGAAGGTGATAATGGCGTGGCCTATGTGTGGGATTTGAGGGAACAGAAGTGGGATAAAGTAATTCTAAGTTTCATGTTACGATCTACTGTGCATGTTTCCTTCATTGCTTAATACTCTACTTGGCTTCAGTTACCCATCACTTCTCTTTTTGTTCATAAATTTGCATTATATATTAGTTTCTGATTTCAACCAGTTGAACACACTTTTTTTGCTTTATCTTGTTCCTAAATATTATTTTGGTTTGAACTTCTACGTAGTATGTACCTTAAATCCACGATCCGTTAACATGACCCAAAATTAGGGGGTTTGAGTATTTCTTATGTCACCTGTTTCGTAGACGAGTCAACCTAACATGACATGATTAATAAACGAGTTAGGTATGAGTCAAGCCAATCAAAAGAAATATATTATGCAACTTGTTTATATACCAGTTATGCACAATGTATACAACACATAAACCCGATATGACCCGATTTGTTAGACACGAGTTAATAAATGTATCGCGTATAGGTGGAGTGCTTTTGACACAAACTCATTAAGACTTGACACGAATCCGCTAGACCTGCCACGAGTGACTGGCCTACTGTGTACTTGAGGAATTTATTTTTTTCTTTCATAAAAATAATGGACCTAAACTTGATATACTTTGATGAATGGTTTTGTGCATCCATTGGATTTGTTCGTGTTGATTCGATGACAAGGAGGCCTTGACTGAGATCTTCTTTCGCTGCTGATTTCATATGCGTGTACTACAATACTGATATTATATAGGCACGAAAACAGTGTCATATTCAGGATTTAGGGAAGAGAATCATGTTTCGGAGCATTTTCCTTTGATATGTTAAATATACAAGTATCTCAGTTTTTTTCTTTGTTAAGAATTTCATTTAGCTTGGAAGATGAGATTTCTTGATTCTTTACTTGGAATATTGATTCGTACAGTGGTAAAAGCTTGGGATGTCAAATTTAAACATGGGTTGAAGTATAACTGTATCCAAGTAGTGATGGTATCCTTAAGTTCAGGCTCATATGCAATCTGCCTATCAACATCTAGTAATGGCCTTTCCATATGTCTTTTTTTTTTTGTATTTGGCATTGATTTTTTTAATTTGCTTATGAACATTTTTACTTGAGGTATTATTTCTGTTGCTGTTTGCTCATATGTGCACAATGTGGTTATAGACTAATTAGTGTTGTATGGAGAATGGGCATCAGCTTATTCTCCTTTCTTTTAATCTTAAACCTTTCTAGTTATTGTTCTTTTGACATAGATTGGTGAAGTTGTTGATGGACCTGATGATAACATGAAACGTCCTGTTCTTGATGGAATTCAATTTGATTATGGTTAGATTTCCCTAATCAGATTTTACTTTTTGCCATGTGTTTTTCTTTTCCTTCTTAATTATAATCTTGAATACATTGTCTCCCAGTATTTGATGTTGATATTGGAGATGGTGAACCTATTCGTAAATTGCCCTACAATCGCTCAGGTATTTTTATTTTCTTTGGTCTTGCTATGATGGTTTAGTAGTATATTCTTTTATTTTGTATGCAAATGTTGGTCGCTATATTATTTTGAGTGTGTTTTATATCCTTTTCATGAACTCATAAAGTTTTTGCTAGACCGCATCACTTTTTTACCCGACGAATCTTTTGAGGACACATGCAAACCTCAATCCTGCATTTTGTAATTAAAGGGGGAAAATGACCACACTAGGATTTATGCTTTGTTTGCCATGAAGAATGAAATGTTGGAACTGAAGAAATGAGAAGGGAAGGATAAAAAATTTATGTCTAGGGAACTGAAGCTATCTTTTCCTCTCTTCTTTGGTTCAGCAGGAAGGGAAAGAGGAAACTTTTCTGCTCCCCACGCCCTTCTTGTTTCCCTCTCCTTTCATGCTATTTGCTTCAACGAACTTGTGTTGGAATTTGGGACGGAATTGAAGCACTATGCCAACCAAGGTGTAGAAAAGTAAAGACTATGTTTGGACGTTTAGCAATGCAGGGACTGATATGACATGAAAGGATTACAAACATTTTGATATCATATAAAGAGTGGTCATGTGCTAGGTGGCCTGCCCAGCTCCAGTGCGGCCCCTGGTGTTGGGTGAATCTGTTGACCTGTGGGGAGGGCAAAAAAATTGTTTTGTTGCCCTGGGCCACCGGCCACAAACTGGTGGTTTTGAAGTAGGCCAGCCGCTAGTCGGGTCTGCCCGGAGCATTGTTGTACCGACTAAAATTTTGATATTTTTATTAATTCTATACATTATTTTCACATATGTAAATAAAAAATAGTTACATTGTACACGAGACTTTTGCCATTGTAAGATTTGAGGGTCAGATGCATGTAGTCTTACCCTAAATCGCACAGAATGGGGGCAAATATATAAATAAATTTCGTAAACAAATATATGATAGATTATTTAAATTTGTTTAACTATTAATTTGCTTGAAACCAGTAGGGTGAATTCTTAAAAAGTTGGCAGCAACACGTCTTTGAAAGGCATTTTTATGCCTTGTACCACATCCCACATCGAATAGGCATGAGTTGCCACCAGCTTTTCATGCCTATAAGATTTAATGGTTTCCTGATCCAAAGCTGTTACACGAAAGACTGCCTTAGCTGGAAGTTGGGCCAACCTAGGATAAAACTTTAGGCTTTTGACTTTGGTTAGTGTTCAAAAATTTGAATTTGTGATTTTTTTTTTTTTGAATTCGCGAATTTATTCCGATTTCACTCTTAATTTGCAAATTCATGAGTGGCATAGTGTGGGTGGTGGGGGGAAAATCATGTGACTAAGGTCTTACCCCTATATGTAAATATATAAAAGTAAAAAGGTTGTTTCCACAACTTGAACATTTGATGCTCAGGTCACAATCGAGCAATTTTATCGTTGTGCCAAATGTAATTATACGAAAAATTTAAGGTATAGGCATTAAAGTAGGGAGTATAACAAATTCTTTGGGACGCAAGTCTTTCGGCTAGAACCCGGGTCGCACCATGACCACCTTTGGGATTAAGCTTGTTTTTCCGCCTCTGTTCTAGTTGTAGTGTTTCTTGTTATATTGCTAAAGTAGCAAGCCAATATATGGATTTTTCTTTATCTTTCTTATTTTATTTATCTGCTTGTATTATGATCACCAGCTATATCACATGTTAAGGCTTACCTTGCAATGAAATGTATTACATATGTTTTTGCATTCGGTGACCATTTTCAGATAATCCATACACTACTGCTGACAAGTGGCTTGTTAAGGAGAATCTTCCTCTTTCTTACCGTCAACAAATTGTAGAGTTTATACTCCAGAATTCTGGTCAAAAGGGTTTTGCACTTGATTCATCCTTTCGTGACCCCTTCACTGGCTGTAAGTATTAAATTATGTCAGGTGGTACATCAGCCATTGGAGTTGGTTGATGAGTTTCATTCACTCTAGTTGCTCCATTTTGCATGTGATAACTGTCCTCCTGATTTACATTTCAGCCAGTGCTTATATACCCGGAGAACCTTCCAACGTGTCTGGTATGTTTGGGTGTTGTTGACCAACTTTAACGTTACTCTGTTTCTCAGATTAAGGTTGACTCTAATATCATTTGTATTGTTGCTTATAGCAGCTGTCGCTGCAAAACCCACTTTCAAGCACATTCCCAAGGTATCTGTTAAACTCTCTTTTTTCTGGATATTCAGAGGATGTGGGGTGCATGCCTTAAAATTGCATGCTGGTAAAGGACAATATGGCAGATTACAGTACAAAATCAATTGCTCCGTAATCTTGCATATCATCAGGCCTTTTTTGGGGTTTGATGTCAATTAGGAAAGGCCCTTTTGTCTACAACGCTGAACAATAAAGCATTGGTTGTGTTTGACAATTAGGATGCTTTTCCTTTAAGCTATATTGTTTTTCCCAAAGTGTCCTAAATGTGCAAAGAATCCAACAGACTTATCTTGAGGATCCGAAATCATTGCATTTTGAGTAATAAAGAAAATTTAAGCTGGAGATATCCAAGATAAAGCGACTAAGGCAGCATGAGATGGTAGAATTCGTAGGTAGTGTGACAGTATTTGTATGATGGTGAACATATTTGCCAAAAGAACTACATTCCACAAAGGAAATCTTATTGACCATGAGGATTAGCAAAAGAAAGAAATTAACTCTAAACAAGACGATGACTCCCGCTCATGGTTACTTGGATTGTGGGTCGCTTGGTTACATGGTACGAGTATGGGTACATTGGACAACACTTTCTTAGGTATATGGTACGATGGGGTAGGCTTAGCTAGTATGTTATTTTGGGTTGTAATTCGTTTTAGAACTCTTATTTAGACTGTTTTCACTACTATACAATATTATATGTTATAGAACATCCATAAATACTAAGTCAGTTATTATTTATCTTATATTTGTGTTTAATTTTCTATTATCTAAAATAATATATAATTATAAATCTATATACTTGGAGTCAATTAATATGTATTTTATATTTGTGTTACATATTTGAATGTAAATTGATGTAGGATTAGTACTACAATTTGGAGTTGTATATTTTGGTGATCTGGATTGCGAACTCACTTTGTTTGGGATCGATGTACCTAGATCATGGGTCGTCACAGATTTAGTGAATTCTAAAAACCATGCTCCCACTTTCTTTTGTAATATACCAAGCTTTTTATGGTTTGGTGCATGCCATGATGGAAGTTATCAAGAATTGACTCGGTTATCAAGGATTCCCCTCCTCCCATTGAGTTCATTCATCTGGGGCCATTTTTGGTGTAACACTGCACAAAAACATAGTTCTATCAAAATGTGATGAAAAGCAATGGGAGACTCACTCTAATGTATTCTGGATGGTCTTGATCGTCCAATTACACAAGAATGAGTTCAGACTGATTGTTGTGGGCAAGATACTACCATATGATTTACTATTTCCTTGTGCTGAAAAATTATTTGACTTCATGTCGGCATTCAAATACTAGCATTTGAACATCTTGTATACTGAAGGATTTTCTAGTCTATTATTAATTTCCAAATTTGTGTTGGGCTGAAATAAAAATGTTCTGCTTATACTTATGTCCAATAACTTGCCTTCAGCATATCCAATTTTCATTAATCTTGTGTGTATTACTAAAATTGTTTTTTTTTCTAGAAAGGAATGCTTGTCTATGATGTGGCTCAGTTTGACGGGATCCTAAAAAAAATCTCGGAGTTCAACAATGCTCTTCTTTCCGATCCGGTAATTTTTGTTACTTTCGATATAGTTACATTTTGTTAGATTTTCCTTTCTTTCACATCTGTATCTTTCTTGTTCTGTCAAACATCAGCATTGAACTGTGATATGCTTGACAGCTGTTGTCCTCCTCCACAATATTTAAACTCTGCTTCTTGTTGTGCAATCAATTGAGATTAGTTTTGTATAAAGCCTTCAAGTTTCAAACCTTAAATTTTGAGATTGTTGCTTTTGATTGCCATTTTACTCTTTCTTTCATGACTGACACGTTACTTTGTTGCTGAAGGGAAAAAAGGATTTGTTACTAACTGAGGTTGAGATTTCAAGATTCGGTGTCATTGCAAAAGTCTTAAAAGACACATCACATTATCACAGCAGTAGATTTTCAGATTCTGACATTGAGTTGTTGCTGAAGTTGTTAAGATTGTGGCCAGTTGCTATGATGTTTCCAGGTAATCAGGATGAGTTTTTGAATCTTTGAGTTATTAATTTGCTAATAGGAACTGTATTGCTATCGTCTTTTTTTTCCTTTTGTATGAGTCATGTCAGGATGAGAAATCCCATTTTAGTTTGTAGGTGATGTCTATGGCATCTGGCCTTTCTATGATAATTGTTGAATGATGTTTTGCTGGTGAAAATGTATATGATGGTATCTTTTATATCTGAAACATTTAGATGGATTAGGAGCAGGGTGTGCTCACTGATATTAAAATTAAATTATTGAATAATAGAGTCGGAGATAATATGGGTGTGGTTCAGTTTATTACTATGCTTTTTGAACTCCATTTTTTTTATATCAAATTCCAACATTTATAGGGGAAGTATCACTTTAGCTCATGGGAGGAACTTGAGTTTAGACTGGAAACAAGGTAATACTTAAATCAAAAGAAGTTGAAAGAGAACATCAATTAATTTCTAGTTCTTCTTGATCAATATTTTCTTGTGGTGCCCTGGGGGTGTTCTGGTTGAAGGCAAAAGATAAAGATTAGAGATCATATATTAAGGATCTAGAAATGGAGGTAGTAATACTATCAAGCTGAAACTTGGAGAATGGCAGTTGAGTAAATAAATTTATTGTGTATTCTTATGTAGAACACACCCAACAAATAATATCTTGGACGAATAAGCTTCTTTTCACAAATGATCTTAATAGATTTGTATCTGATTACGTTAAGATTAAGCTATTGAATAATAGAGTCGGAGATAATATGAGTGTGGTACAGGTTTATTACTATGCTTTTTGAACTCCATTTTTTTTATATCAAATGCCAACATTTATTGGCGAAGTATCTCTTTAGCTCATGGGAGGAACTTGAGTTTAGACCAGAAACAAGATAATACTTAAATAAAAAGAAGTTGAAAGAGAGCATCAATTAATTGCTAGTTCTTCTTGATCAATATTTTCTTGTGGCGCCCTGGGGGTGTTCTGGTTGAAGGCAAAAGATAAAGATTAGAGATAGTATATTAAAGATCTAGAAATGGAGGGAGTAATACTATGGAGTTGAAACTTGGAGAATGTCAGTTGAGTAAATAAATTTATTTATTGTGTATTCTTAGGTAGAACACGCACAACAAATAATATCTCGGATGTATAAGTTTATTTTCGCAAATGATCTTAATAGGTTTTTATTTGATTACATTAAGGTTAAATTACAAAACTTGTTGTCTGCTCGAACACATTTGAACGGATGAATGTTATTCTCTCGTTTAGCGAACGGAGGAAACAAACATAGTTCTCAATTTTGTTTCTGTTGGAAATGAACTGCTTTAGCTTTCTATCATGGCATGGTGATAGGTGAGTAACTTGATATTTGATGGAAGACCGAAGATCGTACTGATCTTGAGATTTTCTTGATTGGCTTTCAAAGATAATATCATACCGATAAAATAATGAGTACTCAACCTTGGGCTGTCGGTTTTTCTTCTATTTCTGAATTTTTCTTAATGAAATTCTAGCTTCCATCTTGGTGAAGAAGTCATCAAGATAGATACTTGGTGATGTAGATGTGAATTTTCTTTCTTTAATGCCAGTATTGTGTGTTTGTGGAAGTAGTTTTTAGCGGGTGCTGACAATTTTTGTTGTAGATATGCCAGAACTTGAATCTCACCTCCATTTGGTTTTGAGTTACCCCTGTTGCATAGGGAATTGTTTCCCTTGGACCAGGATCCCCCCCACCCCACCAAAAAAAAAAAGAAAAAGTGAGTAGTTACTTTTTTTCAGAAACTAATTGAATGTTGGACTTATGTACGATGATTGTACTTTTGGTATGGAAAGAACGAAATGCTTAAGATTGCACTTCTGGTGTTCTGTGCTTTACATAGAAAACTCTGAAGGCTTTGACTGTCAATTGTAGTGGTCTCGTAGTATGATTTGTTATTACATGCCAGTTCTTTAGCGGTTACAAAGTGAGATTTTTTAATCCCCTTGGAGATTGTTTCATCACTGTTAACCATATACATTTGTTTTTGCAGTTGTTGATATTTTGAGGATGATCATCCTTCATCCAGATGGAGCTACTATCCTCCTCAAGCATGTCAATGATAATGATGGTATCTATCTCAACTTGCATTATGCTGCATGTTCTAGGTGTATGCATAAAATTTATTTGGATGAGGATAATATGTATATATATGTACATGTTCATCATGATACTTTTGTCCGAGTTTGGAGTATATGGTAGGCTTAAACTTTTTTTACCAGATGTACTCATGGAGTTGATCAAGAAGGTTACAACAAGTCCACTTCCAGCAAACCTTCTGACCAGCATTCGTGCTGTGATTAATCTCTTCAAGAATTCGTGCTTTTATCAGTGGTTACAAAAGCATCGTGGTGAGGTTAGTAGTTAGTATCTTGCACTTAGAATGGATGAACAGATAATATACACAATGTTATGCATAGAAACTTGATCTGAAATATAGGAACATTATTGAAGTGCTGATGTCAGCAAATTACACAATTTATCTATGCTTTATGTCGGTAATGGTAAAGCTCCAGGGCTTTGAAAAAGTTCCAAAGTAAATGCCTCATATTCCATCCCCTCTCTTCTTAAAAAGAAGTGACCTAAATTTAGTTTTGGCTCGTATGTGCGAGTGTTGTTGGGCAGGTTTAGGAGCTTGTTTTCATGATTTTGTGGTGACTAGAATTAGTCTGACAAAAGCTGCTACCATAATAATATATTGGAGTGAACAAATGGTCTCCAAGTCAACTAGTGAGGAAAATAATCTTTTTATGAGAAGTAAAGCTAATGAAGTTCTTGAAGTATTCTCTTCTCTTTGGCCCCAGCTTTGTGTCACCCTTTTCCCCTGAAAAGCCTTCATGAAGTGATTCGTGCAACAGTTTAACCTACTAGATATTGGTGCTTCCAGTTATTCAAGTTCATTTCTTAGTGATGGTATCAAGATATGGCTAATGGCCGGACTTCTAAACACTGGCTCTAAATGACAAAAATAGTAAAATTGGTAATCCTTGTACTGAAGCTTTGAGGTAATGTGTGGATGGTGCTGTAATTGTAAATATGATTCCTGGTGACTATGTAGTTTGTTGTCGCTGGAACTTTAGAAACCATACTTTGATCTCCTTTGTGTGTGTGTCTGTGTGGGTGTGTGTGTTGCGGAGGTGCTCAAAGCATGTAGTGATGGCGTCACATACCAAAATTAGGTCTTCTTATCTTCTTCTTTTCCTGGCCCCTCGATCACTATGATCTCTCAGCTTGAATGCTTGACTAGTGCAGATTAATACAGCCCCAAATTGGTACTTGAGCTACTTTTAAGTGTACTGTATTCCATTTCTGAGTTTTCTGCCCTACCAATTCTCTATTTCTCTCTGCCCCTCTTTAACACTCTACTTCCATTTTTTATTTTATTTTTTTCATTTTCTTGATGTGTTTCAATTACTTTTCTTATAGTGCTTTGTATTGTTTCAATCACTATGATACCTCCTATGTGTTGAGTAACTCTAATTTTGGACACACAAAAATATAAAGAACATGCACATAACATTCCCTTCCCTTTTTAAAATTTTGTCCCCGAAAGTTTAATTTGATAGAAAAGTCAGTCAATCTACTTCCATGTCCTCGTAACAACACTCCATAGAATCTAGTGGGACCCTCGCCAGTGGATAAGGAAGCTGGATGTGCATTAATGATATCCTTTAGTCCACTTACAAGTCACCTCACCTTTTGTCATTCAAGTATTGTGCTGCATCTTTCGAGCAATCTTGGTAAATGGATGTGATAGTCTTGAACCAAGCCGACATGCTTCAATTTCATAAGAACACGGGCGAGCAACTCACTGTTTTCTTCTTTGAGTAGTTCAAACCACAATTGTGCAACTCCTTCTAGATAGTTTTATGCTAATTGGACTTTTTCATCTATGGTGGTTTGTGAGAAACTCATAAAATTCTTCGCCTAAAAAACCCAAGTGGGGACTGCCAGGTTAGTTGATCCAGGGTTACCAGAAAACGTGAATTGCCATCCAAACCGCGATCTGGGTCACACGACCCCAAACGGGGGTTGTTCGCAACCTGGATTACTCATCACTCCGACCCCTATTACTTATCCAATCCCCAAATCAAAAGTTCAAAATCTAGATCCCCAATATAAACCCTAACCCCATATTTGACCAAATCATTCCAAAATATAAGAAATTGCACAAATCATGTCATAAAAGGCCAAAGCGAGGGAAGATTAGGTAGGTTACATACTTGATGATCCCACATAACTTTTCGGACAGTACTATCTTTGCGCTTTGATGCCTCAATCGATAGTCGCCAACGACCTTGTGCAGATAGCTTCCAGTCTTCAGCCTTAGGTTCTTACAGGGATGGGTTATCATCTGAGGGTTTTCGTCTAAGATACTCATCTGTCTCTCTATCCCTTTGTGTGTGGTATGGTATTGGCTGATTGACTCATGTGATATTTGATCTTGAACATTCTAACGTGAATTGGTAGATTTAAAAGACTAGTGGGTATTAGTTTGGGTGAAAATACAAAAAATGGCCCAACATGACAAAATAACACTCTTTTATTAAAGGGCTAAAAAGGTCAAAATAATCTTTAGGTCATAATAATTAGGAAGCTTTTTAATCGCTCCATACGTTATTTTTCAAATTTTAAACCTTTAAATGTATATTGTCTTTTTGTGATTTTATTTTTTGGTAATAAAATATGCAAACATCACTTTTCTATAAACGATTATTAGTTGATGTGTTGTTGTGGGACCTAATTTTTCTTGAAACTCGTACAACAAAATACAAAATAAATGTTAATTAAATAATAGCTTATACATATATAAATAAAATAAGAGTGTGCAACTACTATAGGTTCAAAACAACTAGCAATTGATTCTTTATAATGTATAACTATGATAGTTCCTTGTAATAATGACAACGATCCGGATAAGAGTCCAAAGTGAACAGCGATCCAAAATAGCGTACTAGCTAAGCCTACTCCCGCACTGCACAGTAGAGAAAGTAACGTACCCCGTTTCCGTACCCATATCACGTACCCAACCGATCTCGTGATCCACGTAACCCTGAGTTGATCCACTTGAAATAGAATATGAGCAGCCATTATTCTTTCATCTCCATTCCATTTGGTTGAGTATGCCTTCTCCTTTCATGATGTTGATCTAAGTGCCAATAATTGATAAAAGCAAGAATGATCTCCAGCATCTTCTTCATCACCGTTCTTGTCTAACTCTCAATCAACGAATTTTAGCTTTTAAGTCAACTAACTCGTTGGTCCTCCAACTCTGACTTAGATGCGTGCACCTTTTTAGAGATGAAAAGAACAAACCTCCAATGGTTCAATTTGAGAAGAACTTAACCCGTAAAACTTTAGTAAAAAGTCTATCGCTAATACAGGCTACTTTGTTCATTGATCGTAAGGTCTTTTTTTTTTTTCTTTTTGGTTTTGGTACTAATAGTAAGCTCTTTAAATATAAGATGATGATAACTTGCAAAATAGCTAACTCACACTATAACTCCATAAAGACTTGATCAATCGACAACTAACATTCTTAGAAAACCCACTAACACTACTACTAACTCTGCTTACTAAATGACCTATAGATTTTAACATCTAACTTTATACACAAATATATAAAGAGCATGCACGGAACAAAGTGTTTTAATTTGCTTCTAATAGTGCCTTTCATTGTTTAAATATGTAACTTTTGTTGTAGTTTATGTTCATAAAAATGTATTTTGTTCATATATATACCATGTGCATGGTTGTTTGAATCTTCTGTGTTACGCCTCATAGTTGTGGCTGTGAGACAAGCCTTCGGCCATGGCTACCGAGCAGGCTATACCCAACTGTGATGTCTGATAAAAGAGAGGAGGTGTATGAGAAGGAAACGCAAATCATGAGTGTAATACCTCTTGGATTTATGAGCAGAATCGAGAGACTAGTAGGGATGTTGTGTTTGCATCTCTGTTGCGCCATCTTATCAATCAATATGTATAATAAGCAGGTCTGGTGTGGCTGTTGCCTCAAACAGCTGTAAATTGAATGGGTCATTCTGAATGACTATGACATGGAGTTGATACTCAAGTGCACCTACACCGCCACACTCATGGTGGAGGCCATGTAATAAGTTTGAGAGAAAAGGCTTTATTTAACTCAAACTTGTTCTCGTTTTTCATTTTTTGGTCAACCTTGATCTTTTCAGAGCTGGCTTTACCCAACTGTGATGTCTGATTCAAAGAGGGGAGGCAGATGAGAAGGAAACGGAAAATCATGAGTGTACTACCTCTTGGATTTATGAGCAGAATGAGATTCAGGGATTGTGATCCTGACACAACATGCGGACACGGCCTGCTCCCAAGAGAATAGTAGGGATGTTGTGTTTGCATCCCTGTTGCGCCATCTTATCAATCAACATGTATAATAAGCAGGTCTGGTGTGGCTGTTGAGCCTTATTTTTTTTTTGGTCAGGGCTGTTAAGCCTCAAACAGCTGTAAATTGAACTGGTCATTCTGAATGACTATGACATGGAGCTGATACTCAAGTGCACCTACACATGCCACACACACTGTGGGGGTCATGTAATGAGTTTAAGATAAAAGGCTTTATTTGACTTGAACTTGTGCTCTTTCTTCTTTTTTTGCTGAACCTTGATGTTTTCACGTTGGAAGTTATTTTTAGTGGTCAGCTGGTTGAATAATCTTTAATATGCGTATGAGCTGGTTTTGTTTGCTTGTAGTTATTAAATGATTTTGAAGTCATATGGAGGTAATGGTTCTGCATTTTTAAGTACAATGAAGTCATTATTTTCTGATCTTGTAGATTCTAGATGCATTCTCGAGTTGTTACTTATCTCCCAATAAGAACGTGCAAGTGTCTTATTCAACATTGGTACTCAAGTAAGTAGTATTCTGACCAGTTAAATCTCTTGTACTGTAATTTTTTTGTATGATTGTGGCTGGTGGACCTATATTTCTTTTCTGTTACTTTTAATCATCGAGGAAAAATGAAGCCTCCACCTTTTTTGGAGGGCATCGTTGAATTATAGTAGTGGAACAACTCTGACCCACTTTGTTGCTTATGTAGCTCTGGAGATCTAATTTGAAGCTGTCATAATAGTTAACATATTTTTTTCACACTGGAGATCAATTAAGTTTTCACTACAGAACCGAGAAAAGAAAGCTATGGAAGTGTGGATTGATCCGCTAGTTATGAACTGTGAAGTGTAGGATCTTAAACTGCAGCGTGCTATTTCAGGAAGATACTTGTCTTTCTAAGAAACCATCAGCTTCTATGTCTGTTCCAAAATCGGGAATTGAGAAATATATCGAAATGACTTATAGCTTCACCTTTCTTTGATAGGGCAATTGAACTTACTGTACTTTGGGGCTAGCATGCCCTCCCTTCTTCCAAGGCCACCAGGCCCATCCTTTTTCCCTCAATTAGATTTTGTTCTTACTCTGGAAAATATAAAATAGGGTGCAGCCAGCAAAAAATTGAAAACATAAGCATATTGGATCTCGTCGTTGATATATTCATAATTATTAGGTTGTACTAAATTATATTTGGCTTCTAATTTTTTTTTGTTAAACTCCTAAAGTGAGTCATATCATTGCTTTGTTCTCTATTTTTGATCTTTACAGCTATGCTATTCTTTTGATCGAAAAGAAGGACGAAGAAGGCCAATCTCAAGTTCTTTCGGCAGCTCTTGAGGTATTTTTACTTTCCGAATGATGCTTCTATGATTCCAAATTGATATGTTAATTGCCCCCCCAACAAAAAAAAAAAAAAAAAGACACCCTCCACCTGTCCATCCTTTTTTTTTGGTGGGGAGGGGTGGGTTAAGGGGAAGAGGATGAGATTAGAAACTTTACCACTGGTAGGCGGGAGTAAGCCCTTACCACTGGGTCATTCCCTCACCTCCCCCACCCTTAACCTCATGCAAAGGGGTGTTTATGTTCTGTGGGATCTTCAGTTGGATGTCTCCAGAAATGCAAATTATTATATTTGTCATGATGCTTTTCTTTTTCTTTTTTTTTTTGGGTTTTTGTTCCTACAGATTGCAGAAGAGCAAAATTTAGATGTCGATTCAAACTTCCGGGCCTTAGTTGCCATTGGATCGCTGGTATATTTTTACTCATCCAATTTTTTTTAGCCTGTGTTCTTATAATTGATTGATCTCTGTCCTGATCTTGTTCTGTGTTCTACACATTCGGTCATTTATGTTGATATTGTTCTATAGAAGTCATTTTGTTATTTTTCATGATATATCAAGTTCAAAGATCAGAAACTTCCCGTGCTTAATGTAATACAGGAGCAGATCCAAATTTCTGAGCATCTGAGAAACTGATTAAACTGCATTGGTCTTATCCCATGCTATAATACTAGACTATTAAATAGGTTTGAGTCAATCTGTAGGTTGAATATCTGCTTAAGAACTGTCCAGCAAAATATTGTAATTGTATTGGCTGCAACATAATGTCATTTTTCAGCCACACTGGATGAACAGACTGTGAATCACCATTTTTGTCCTACCCCAGCCAGGGATTGCACCCCAATTTAGGGGTCAAACAAACATAGCTATTCTCCTGGAAAGACAAATCATGTGGATCTCAGCCTGAATTAATGGGATTTTTAGTATTCAAATGTGAATTACAAACCATTTAGGTCTTTTATGCCATCTATTTTGTCTTCGCAAAACAGATGCTCGAGGGTCTCATGAGAAGAGTAGCATTGGACTTTGATGTTGAGAATGTTGCCAAAGCAGCAAAGGCATCTAAGGACACCAAGATAGCCGAAGTTGGAGCTGACATTGAACTGATTGCAAAGCAGCGTTGAATTTGTCTCTCCCAGTAACCAATCTTCCTGTCGTGCATGCACAAATAGTTGAGACGCTAAAGAAATCACTATTTGACCTGACCATGAGAAAGGAAAAGGACAATATATTTTTTCAGCTAGATGTGTTCCTTATCGGAAACCAACAGCTGAGATTTGCTTAGACCAGACAGGCAAAGGAGAGCCATTCTGGTGGGAGAATTGGGCAATATGCCAAGAGAATACAAGGTACCTCTCGATCCTGGAAAACTGTGTGCCTTTGTATTTGTTGTGACAGTTAATTTTAATTTTATTTTATCCCAAAAGAAAATTTGAATTGAGCAACAATTGTTAGCTCTATGGAATCTGTGGACTGTGGTCAAAGATTGGCTGCAAATGGGTAGGGAGGGCTTCTCACGCTTCCCTTTTCGCTGGAAAATTATGGAGTGGGAACAAGTCTTAAGATATGGAATAGTCTGATTTTTGTTTGTAATTTCTAGAGTAAACTATATGCACCTTAAACTATGACTCTGTGTCAATTAAGTCTTTGATTTTTGATTTTTGTGTAAATTGAGTCATTGAACTCTCTAATTGTGTTAAATAAGTCTTTCTGTTTGTCTCTGGTTGATTTTCTAACAGAAAGTTGTGAAGTATGTCAGTCATGTTATATAAATGAATTGAAGTTTTTTTACACATATGACCCTCAAACTATAACTTTTGTGTCAACTAAGTTCTTGTATTTTTTTTATTTTTTTTGTGTCAATCGAGTCTTTGAATCTTCTAATTATGTCAATTGAGTTATTTTGTCTTTTTGTGTTATATGGTCACATGAGTGACACTCTAACGAAGGTAGACAGAATGACGCAATTAAAGAGTGGAGGGACTCAATTGACACCAAAAAAAAAAAAAAAAAAAAGTTTGTGGTTTAATTGACACAAGGGTCATAATTTGAGGGCTATGTGTAGTTTACTGTGATTTATATAATTTTTTCTTTTTATGTTGTCTGGTGTCTGCTAATCGGCCTAAAAATACCAAAAAGAAAAACAAATAACCATCTATCTTGCAATTTTTTATCGGTTTGTTTGCAGAGACTTGTTTGATATATATTTGTGTCGATTTAAACGGAACAGAAGGGATGAATCGGCTGAAACCCTAAAAGCACCAATATGGGGAGGAAACCTAGTGCTAAAACTCCTTTTGCAGTGAAGTAATGGATTCTACAGTCCATTCTAAATTGTTAGGCAACCAAATCAGGGTGCCTCTGTTACCACTCTGCTACTTTGGAGTTTTTGGAAGGTTAGATATTTATAGGGTTTTTCTTCTACCAAGTGTCCAATTTACAATGGAGTAACTTTATTATTGCGATAAGGCGTTTCCATCGGGTAAACAATTATAATTTTGCGTTATTTTGGTCTGCCAGGAAAATCTTAATTTCCAGCTTAAGATTATGTGTATAAATTTCTCAAGGTATGAGAAACGGCCCTTTTTTTTGGTTTAATGGTTATTGGTGTTCGGATCAATTTAAGTATACTTTGACCCTATGTGGTATGGTTAAAGGCGGATTATTCACGTCAAAATTAGGGTATTTATGATTTGATTTAAGGAGTTGTTAAAATTTGAATCAGGACATCTAAATTTATAATTGTTATTATTTGAGCTATTCTTTCGTAATAGATCCATTTTATAGTTATTGGGGTGAGGGGGCGAAGGATGACACGGATGGTGTTGGAGACTTTTATTTTCTGTGGGGTTTGGACAGGATCATTATATACATACATACATAATCTAGGGATTATTTTCGTGATCTGAATCTTAATCATCGCTGACGTGGGCCCTTGGAATTTTTTAATGACAACTAGGTGCATGAATGGCGAGCAATTATTCATCATAGTGGGATGACATCTAACCTAGCAACGAACATAAGAATCCTTTTAACCCTTGGTTTTCTGCCAACTAATTTGTCGGAGTTTCATTAATCATATTAATTGTTATTCAACAAACAGTAATCTATCGTTTTTAGGTTACCAGGGGCCATTTAATAATAGAAGTCGTCATGTTTAAAAAAAAAAAGAGTAATACCTAAAAATTTGAATTAATGATTTGGTGTAGGGATATGGTCTACTAGTATTATTATTGTGACCGTAACCGTTAGATTTAAGCACTACAACTTTATCACAAGAATACATTATTAAGTCAATAAATTAAATTAATTTAATTTTTTAGGTCTTAATAATATTATTCTAAAAAAAGTGGTGGTATATTTAGTTATTAAATTCACAATTTTTGCTGTGATACCAAAAAAAACCTTAACTCAGTATTATTTTTCTTTAGTGTTAAGCAAGTGTCTTTCAATGATTGTCATTTTGTTATAAATGCAAGAGGATGACTACTATGTATATACAGTGATGCATAGTGTTAAATAATAGTAATGAATGCATAAATAGTATAGTATATTAAATATGACAGTTGAAAAGCTGAATTTTTAGCATTTGCCCGCCTAGGACGAATGCGGAGGCCAAAAAATTGAAAGAGCATAGAATAATTTCATTCTCTAAAGTTTTCTCTCACTTAGTTTTTGTGTTATTTGTTTTATGTTCAGATAATCTAATGATTTTACAATGCGTTATTATTAACATGAATTTCTTGTTAACTAGAATAGTTGATTATTACTATACTATAGTATTTGCCTAATATTTGTCTAAAATGAAAATTTATTATTTTTAATTTAAAAAATAAAAATTCAATATTGTACTATTCAATACTAAAAGAGCAATATTACATGAACTTAAAAATTAGACTTGATAATCTAAACCATTGATTTCACTAATATTTATTAAACTTCATTATTTGTTCAATAATTAAAATTATCAAATCTAATTTTTAAGTTTATTATAATTTTTAATTTTATCAAACATTACTCTTACTCAAAAAATGGGTGTGAAGAAGTACAAACTGTTCCGAGTGTCGGTAGCTTTTGTAAGAACCAAGGTTCACCGCTTTCAGTTTCTGGAGATATTACAGAGAGAACCCTTCTTGTTTCTAACATTTCATTGACACCCCTTTATTGTTTCGAGTCCCATTATGGTCTTGAAATATTATTCTTTAGTTCAATAAAAATGTGCCACGGTTAAGATTTTTATATTTTGTCATATTTTAATTAATTTATTATTCTTCAACCAATAATTACACATTAATCAATTTATAATCAATGATTGAAATGAATTCGATAATCGTAGCCTTACCTTGGCCAAAACTTTTAGCCCTTGGATTCATTCACTGACCAGAAACCAGGTAAGGTGGATTGTGTGCGGTGGCTAGGTTGGCCAAAAGGGGGAGGGGAGAAGAAAAAAAAACAAAAACAAAAACAAAAACAATTTTGATACAGGGTGTGAATGTAATTTTAAAAAGAAAAGGGATCTCAATGAACTTAACAGAAACCTTTGGCCGGTTCCCCCTCCCTCGTCTCTTAAATGTCAATTTGTTTGTAAGATTTAGTTCCATAAGTTGGGATTCTACAAACAATAATATTATTCAGATGTAATTTATTATTTTAATTTAATTTAATTTATAATAAATTTAATTCAACCGTGAAACTTTCTATTAACCCCCGGTAATAAATTATATCTTAATAATATTATTCTTTTATGAATTGTGAAAAGACGAGAGACATTCTTATTTTATAGGGCCCACAATTCAGGTAAGAGAAAAGTGTAAAAATAAAAACATGAGTCCTCTTTGCTTTTGGTAACAACCTCACAGAACCAAGTACCAACATACTGCCATTCCATCCCATCCCATCCCATCCCATCCCATCCAATTGAACTCATAGGTCAGTTCTCTCTCTCTCTCTCTCTCTCCTTGTTTTCATGGTTTGATCGACTCGAAACCCTAATACACATTGTCTCCCCAATTCTTCTGGTATGTTTCGATTGATCCTTGCAATATCCATTATGTAAAGAAGAAAATCATGCATCTTTGTTCTATTGCATGATGTCAATGTATTCGTTGGGCAAAATCGAACTATGAGATCCCTTATTTCTTTGATGTCCTAGATGGGCTTCATTTACTTGGGACTTGCTGATGTACCGGGTTTTGTTTTAGTTTATGTGATTTTATCTCTTTTAATTTTCTGTTTCTATTTTAAAATCACTGTGTTGAGCTCCTTTATTCCATCTTAGGAATCTGAATTGTTCGTATTATTGCTTATTGGTTTGTGATCATTGGATTGATTAATATATTTTGGGAATCGAATGTGGTAGACTATCAGCTTGTTTGAGTTGTTCCTTTCTGGTGGCACCATAATCTTTGATTTTTCTAATCTTGAGATCCAAATCCAATATTCATCTTAGATTTGGATGATGTTGGCATTTGATGTGTTGTTTTCAATGAATGTCAGGCATTTGAAGTTTTTGGGTTTGGGTATGGAAACTGGTTTTGGGGGATTAACTGACACGTCTTGTTCTGGAGATACTAGCTGTGATGCTGGTGATTTTGAATGTAATATCTGCTTTGAATTAGCTCAAGATCCGATTGTGACCGTCTGTGGCCACCTATACTGTTGGCCCTGTCTTTACAGTTGGCTGCATCTTCATTCACGTTCACACGAATGCCCGGTTTGTAAGGCCATTGTACAGGAGGAGAATTTGGTTCCCATATATGGAAGGGGAAAATCAAGTTCAGACCCCAGATCTGTGTCGATACCTGGAATTAATATTCCACATCGCCCTGCAGGGCAGAGACCCCAAACAGCTCCAGCTTCTAATATAAACTTTTTCCGACAAGATGAGCTTGATCCCACTGGGGGTTTCATGCCAATGGCAACTGCAAGGTTTGGGAGCTTAACATTATCTTCTCTGTTTGGTGCTATTCCATCATTTTTTAATCTTCAGGTCCACGGATTTCAAGATGCTACTGTATACGGAGCAACTACTAGTTTCCCCTATTTGCTTTCTGGTTCGTTTCATGGGGGTTATGCTCATGGTTTTTATCACCATCAAACTCACGGGGATGGGATGAAGTTTGTTATGAAAATGTCTTTTTTGATACTTGGTTTTCTCGTGCTCATTCATCTAATAACATCGTAGACATTCTGTTCGTGAAGTTCAATTGTTGGACAGGAGGATTATTGGTAGTGCTATTGTATATGTTAGCCTAATGAACTCGTACTTGTGTTCAGCTTAATGCTGCGAACAAGATTTTTCAGTGCTTCACAGCTATATGTTTTCTATCACTTGCACCTAGATCTGTAATTTATTCTTTTTCATACTAAGCAGGTTGGACATTTCCTATTTTCTAACATTGCAAGATGAATCCAATGTGAAAGTATGAAGGTGCTGTTGCATTGTGCGTGCTTGCTCTCGGTCTCAGTTTTATTCCTTGTGATATTGTTTCTGGTCTATTTTGTGCAGTGTCGCGGTTATATGAAAAAGTGTTGATGGTTCCTGCTAACTTTTTTTGGTTATTCCTCAATCCTCATGTTCTTCGGGGTTTTGTTAGATGTCACCATATTTGTATTGTGATCTCGATTTTAGCATGTGTTTGTTGCAAATGCAGGTTTATGTAAATAAGCGGCAAATTGTTGCATGGTCTTTCTCCCAGTAGGAATTGATGGGATTGATAATATGCTAATATTCTTCCTATATAGCTTTCCTTATAAACAATACTTAATGATAGGCAAGTAGTAACAATGATTCATCACAGATTGTATGTCAGCATACAAAAACTAATTAAACGTATTTCCTTTGATTTGATATTAAAATAATGTTTCCTTTTTGCTTGAAAATGTGGTCAATTGAAATGATCGGGAGCGTTTTTGAGTAAATTCAGAAGTTGATCAAGCGAAGCGTTAGCATTTGATGATCTTAAACCTTGCAGAGACTTCTTTTGAGCAGAGCTGTGCCTGTTGATGATGTTTTTTGATGCCTACTTCCTCCAGTGAGTTACCAAGTGACCTTGCAGCATTTTTTCAATCAATGTTGTAAGTTGCCTTTAAATTGAAGTCTTTCAAGTCCCTTCTAGATACCACCCTTTTAGTCAAAGCTAAGGTTCAGAGTTGAGAAATGAGCATATACCCAATCCAGAGGAGTATATATAGGGATATCCTCCTCCATTCAGCACATCAAACACTTGGGGTTTTACTAAAAACCAAAATAAAAATGATCAAGAAATATTATGCCAAAATATATAGGCCAAGTTCCATTTTACCCACCTGTAGTTTGGGGCAGTTGCACTTTACCCCCTTATGCTTTTGGACTTATTCGAATAGACAGTGGGAAATGTAAAATAACTGATAATTTCAATCATTCTTCCTTATCAGAAGAACAAATTGTTGGTGCACGATGTAGAAGGGAAAATTGGGGGGAGGGGAGCTAGGGCGTCAATCTGGAGATATGGATTGACTAATTGTGAAATCCAAGTTTTTAGAAGAGAAAAGGTGGAAATACTGAACTACTAAATCCTTCTCAGATCACACATACTCCAAATTTTGAAATCCAAGTATTTAAAAGCATGTTGATAGGTCCATGTATTTTTTTCTTTTTCTATCATTTAAGTATATTTTATGTTGATTGGTCCAACAAGCATTTGAGATCTTGATACGATATGTGTTGTATACGGAGGTGGTACTGTGGTGCTTATAGATGGCGGTGACGTTGATACGACGATCTCCCTATTTAAGATCGCAAACATGTATGTGAACGTTGGGGGAGAATCTGTTCAAATAAATAAAAGTTGGGCTCAAAATTTGTAAGCAAGTCTCAATATTTAATGTAGCATATTTGATTAATTTGTTGTTTAATAGAATTGGAAATAAAATACTGAAAATAAAATATTGAAATTGAAGTATTGAATGCTTAATTTTTTAATTTCAAAATTATTTAGTGTATATAACTTTTAAGCATTGAATTGAATCTAATTGTTTGATTAATATAATGAGTTGAAGTTTATAAACTATTAATTTTCTGGTTTTGACCATTTCTCTCCACTACATCTATCGTCGCTAACTCATTCTCATAACTATGCCCATCAGAATTATTGTCATCATCGGCATAACCCAACACACCACCATCGCTGCCACCTCTGACATCCCACTCCTACCATGATTATCACCATCATTGCCACAAAAGTTTGCTACTACCACGTACTATCATTATCAACCACTGCCTATGCCATCATATAAGGGTGATAAAGAGTTGGAAGCGAAAAATAAATTGCGATGACAATAGATAAAGTCATATGGGTTAATCATGAAAAATTTATAAAATTCTTATATATTAACTTATTAAGCGTTAAATAATAAGTAGATAATTTGGTGCGTAAATTTTAGCCTAGTTTTAAAAGATGTTCAAAATTTTAAGTAATGTGAATTTAGGTCATCGAACAAACTTAAATGAAAAAATGTATAATACTTTCAATTTTAATTGATTAATTGGATTATCAAATACAATTTATTTTTTGGAGGGAATTGAGGTCTATGATTTTTTTTTCTTTTTTAAACGAAGGTGTAAGGTCCAAATATCTAACTTCTATTTAATTAAAAAAGTGAGGTGTATAATATTTTATGATTAATTTATTAATTTTCAATCGATAGTTACAAAATAAAATCAATCATTGGAGATTAATTCTAATAAATATTGAGATTTATTATTTATTTAATAATTATGAATAAATAAATTAAAAATTAAATTTAAATAATATTGCTCGTAAAAATTAATTTGTAAAAATATTCCTATCAGAGGTGGACCCTTTTGTGATGGGTCCCAACATCTAATTGGCGGTTTACCAAACGCCATCCCCCACCCCCCCGCGGCAACCGAATTGTTAATAAAAATATCTTCTTTCTGGATAAACTAATCGCCCCGGTCGTTCCAGTACACCATTGGCCCTTAACTGACTACAGAACTTGCTTTTTCTCAGAGCAGAGAGAGGGATTGGGAGAGAGAGATTCAAATCTACATCGATGGAAACTCTGGCTCTAAATGTTACAATGAGAACTCAGAAACTATTGAAACCCAGAACCCATCTCCTTAAATCTCCTCTCTTTCCCCAAAATTCCCATGTTTACAGAACTCTCTACTGTCAGACAGGTCTCTCTTTCACAATCAGTTGTAAGCTCAGAATCTCCAAAGATAAGAGCAATACCATGGCGGAGAAAGTTTCGGTCGCACCATCGCTGTCGGACGAGGGTGGCAACACCTTAGGGAGTGGCGGAGTTCCATCGAAGCCGCGGCGGAGTACAGGCGGTGGATTTGAGACATTGAAGAAGTTACCCAGAAGGGTTTTGGCAATTCTTTCTAATCTGCCTTTGGCCATCTCAGAGATGTTTGCCATTGCTGGCTTAATGGCCTTGGGTATGCTTGCTTGTCCCCTCTCTCTCTGCATTGGCGTAGGTGTTTTTATATGCATGTTTGTAAATAATGATACAGGATAGATATATGTAAAGGAGTGGTCTTTGTTGTTATGGGTGAGAAATCCAACTTCAATGCAACAATTTTCTGCAATTTAATGTACATTACTAAACAAGGTGATTTTGATTTCACGTGATGACGGTTACTACCTTATATAGCATAGATTCCTATCTATGCTTAAAGAGGGTGACTTTGGATTGCAACAGAGAAAAACTAATGCTTTATTTCCATTGATGAGGCTACAAGTCAAAAGATCCGTCTTATTCTTGGGAGTCAAAAGGGTATCTGTTATGTACATGTTTTTAATATATTTTTATGTAATATGAGAGGTAGTTATTAGGTAGATATTTTAGTAAGTGAGTTAGTGATAGAGTATTTTGTGTGTAGTTCTTTGTTAGTTACTAAGATAGTGGAAGTCATGAGTTAGGTTAGTTATTAAGGTAGTTTTATTAGCTTGTATTTAAAAGTCTTTCTATCAATGAAATGGATATGTTAAATATTGTATTGAACTTTCTTGTGAAAGTTTTAGAGATTCGATTTTTCTCGAATTGAGCCATTGGAGGTTTTCACCCCTCGAAGCGGGTTTTTTTCCCCAATTCTATTTTCGTTTATTTTTTAAATTCCTCAAAGTCTGCAAGTAACAATTGGTATTAGAGCCGACGATCCTATTAATGGCTACCTCATCAAAAATTTTGAAGTTAATGCGAGATGAATTTCAAGAAGGGTGCAAGAGATTGCTTGAGCAAAATCAACGCTTGCAAGAGAGCTTCAACAAAGTTCTACAAATCCTCCATGAAGGTGTGTCCACTCAAATGAAGGAGCAAATGATGAACCAAACTGGGATCAACAAGTATGTGAAAGTTGAGCACAACAAAACAGGAAGACAAGTTGCATATAGTGGGATTCAAGTCTACTCAAGCACAGGAGCAAAAGGGCAGCTATTTGGGGCGCATTTGTCTTCATTTTTGCTTAGAGTTAGCACCAAACAATCTATTGGTCAAGTGATTGAAATTGTTGATCACATAGATTTTCTTCAAGAGGAAAATTTAACTGCTGATCGACACCATCACTCATTTAGCCATGAAGAGATTCAATGAGAAGGAATCAAAAGTTGCATAAAGTAAGGATATGATTTATTTGTGGTTGTTAGAGAATCAAGGTTGAAGAATCAAAATGGCACCTATGCTGGAAGGTTTTAATGAAAGTTGTTCCTAAGGATTCACGTGCCGGAATCGAAGTAGTTCTCTTCCGATGGTTGAACCCAAAATGTGGGCTTTGTTTCCCCGAAGTTGCTTGCCAAATAGTACCTACCTACTGTCTTAGTAGTGAAAACATGGATTAGATTGGTTGTTATAAGGATGAGGAAGTGAGTTGGCCGCCTCCTTTTGTACACGATAAATCAAACTTTGAGGACAAAGTTTGTTTAAAGGGGGATAAAATGTTATGTACATGTTTTTAATATATTTTTATGTAATATGAGAGTTAGTTATTAGGTTGATATTTTAGTAAGTGAGTTAGTGATAGAGTATTTTGTGAGTAGTTTGCTAGGTAGTTACTAAGATATTGGGAGTCATGTGTTAGGTTAGTTATTAAGGTAGTTTTATTATCTTATATTTAAAGGTTTTTCTATTAATGAAATGGATATGTTGAATATTGTATTGAACTTTCTTGTGAAAGTTTTGGAGATTCGGTTCTTCTCGAATTGAGCCATCGGAGGTTTTCATCCCCTCGAAGCGGGTTTTCTTCCCCAATTCTATGTTTTGTTTATTTTCCAAATTCCTCAAAGTGTGCCCATAACAGTATCAAGGAATACTAATGTGGTCATGTCTTTGAGCCTTGAAAAGGGGAAGAAACTTGCATTGGGTTAGGCGAGGTTAATTCCCTCTTGTGCCCTTTTGCATGACTAGCTCATAGCATAACTGACCAAAGTGTGGTAATCTTTGTTGCTTCTGCATTGTGGATCCTTTAAATCTACTGGAGCCCTCTGTATCAAGTGGTTAGAGACAGAAATGGATTCGGATGACCATGATCATTGCATAGTGTGTCAGCATGAAAATTCACTTGGTTATAAGGTTTAATTTTTTTCAAAGGTCTTATCTCTAATTAGATAGAGCAAAAGAGAAAGTAGAACTCTAATTGGCTTGTTTTTTCATAGGGGGTTGCCACTATAAGGTTATAAAGATTATACCTTTCTCCCATTGCATCATCTTTGCATATGAGGAAACCCTGTTATTTTGCATATTTGCAACAATTCAGAACTTTGAGGCTTGCAGAAAGTCTTGGAACCTGATTTACATATTAAATGTTGCCTTGAACCAAACAGTGGTTTTCAGTATGAATAATTGGGCTTCATTTCTTATCTCCATTTTGGTGTGAATCTTTGACTTGTATCCTGATATCAAACAAAATCGGTTTTGTGGTGTTTGATCTTTGACGGTTCTGCAGGAACTGTCATTGAACAAGGTGAGGCTCCAGATTTCTATTTCCAAAAATATTCTGAAGACAATCCTGCCTTGGGCTTCTTTACTTGGAGATGGGTTCTCACCCTTGGCTTCGATCACATGTTCTCATCTCCAATTTTCCTTGGAACAGTGGTTCTCTTGGGAGCATCACTCATGGCCTGCACATACACAAGGCAGATCCCCATTGCTAAGGTAGCAAGAAGGTTTGGTTTCTTCCTACAATCTCGCCTCCTTCTCTGCTGGGAGTGAGTTGGATTAGGTTCTTATTGACAGGAATTATTTTCCTTATCTGCAGGTGGTCTTTCTTACACTCAGCTGAGGCAATTCGCAAGCAGGAATTCACAGACACCCTGCCCAGAGCATCAATTCAGGATTTGGGTGTCATTTTGATGGGAGCTGGATATGAGGTACAACGTTTGCTTTTATATTTTTTCTTTCCTTTGCTACATCTTCCCCCATTTTGAGAGTCTTGCTGATAAAACTTTGTGGTGCTGAGTTATGCTAATTGCTGTATTTCATATATATTTACCTCTACAACACATGCTTGAAATGTTGTTTATTTGATGGGGTAGGCTTGCATTTTGACAATACTTTCCTATTGTAGAGCTTTCATTGGCAAGTTTCTTCTTATTAACCACATAGTACCATCTTCTGCAAAATGTCTGTCAAGAATAAGCCTGCGTCGCTACTCGCAAAGTCACTTCTCATAACTTATTCGTATGGTGTAAAACTGCATGTAGGTAAGTGGAATGGGAAGTTAATGACATAGGCTCACTCATTTGCAATATTTGAACAGAACTGTTCATTAAAAAAATTCAAGATCGGGAATAAAAAACAGACAAATATGGAGCATGTGGATAATATCGTTTCCATGTGTGGTCTGTGTTAATACTTATGCAAGTAGTATTTTCCTGGATTGCTATTTGAGAATCACCTTTCATTTCCTAATTTGCTTTTAGACACAATTACCATTTACCTGTCTAACAGTTTCTGACTACACTCTTGAGTGTTATAGGTATACTTGAAAGGACCATCTCTATATGCCTTCAGGGGGATGGCTGGTCGGTTTGCTCCAATTGGAGTACATTTAGCATTGCTGCTGATAATGGCCGGAGGGACTCTCAGTGCTACTGGGAGCTTTAGAGGTTCTGTGACAGTTCCACAGGGTTTAAACTTTGTTGTGGGAGATGTATTGGGACCAAGTGGGTTTCTTTCTACTCCTACAGAAGCTTTCGATACTGAGGTCCATATCAACAGATTTTACATGGACTACTATGACAGTGGAGAGGTAGACAGCTGTATAGAAGGAAGTCATTGATGCCTTCTCCCTATCAGTTATGCTTGCTACTTGGTCCTGAAGAGTTAATTCTGTTGCTCTTGTTTGGTCTTTGTGATGTTGTAGGTTTCACAGTTCCACACTGATCTTTCACTATTTGATCTTAATGGGAAGGAGGTAATGAGGAAAACGATAAGTGTGAATGATCCTTTAAGGTTCGGTGGGATCACTATATACCAGACAGATTGGAGTTTCTCAGCTTTACAGGTACTCAAGGATGGGGAAGGACCTTTCAATTTGGCTATGGCACCTTTAAAGCTCAATGGAGACAAGAAGCTCTTTGGAACGTTCCTGCCTGTTGGAGATCCTGACTCTCCTAATATCAAGGGAATGTATGTCTCTGATAAACTTTTCCTGCTGAACTTCTATCAAATCAGGGTGTTTTCAGTTTTCATTTTTCTTTCTCTTCCTATTTTTAGCCATAAAAATCAGGATGAGATTTGGTTTTAACCAAAAACTGAAGGAGGTACATTATAAACCTAAATTTGAGTGAGAGGTGGCTAAAAATGCAATTTACTTATTTGAGAGCTTATATAAACATTTGCCCTTAGTGGATGGTAAAACTATCAACATAGCGTCTAATGCAGAAAATGACCTATTGGCTGTTGGAAACATGGCCATCTACAAAAAAAATATTGGGAAGATCATCAGAAGCCAATTCTTCTCTTACAGTGTGTCTTTTATTGAATTTTCCTAATATTTTTCTTTTGTTCTTATTTTATTTTTTGAAATTTAGATCAATGCTAGCTCGTGATCTGCAATCGATTGTCCTTTATGATCAAGAGGGGAAATTTGCAGGGGTCCGGCGCCCCAACTCTGAGCTTCCAATTGACATTGATGGCATAAAAGTTGTAATAGTAGATGCAATTGGAAGTAGTGGCCTTGACTTGAAGGTGATGCTAATGGAAAAAGATAAACTTTCTTTATCTGGATATTTTTCGTTTTTTTTTTCCTTTCTTGTGAAACTTAAATCCGTTTCCTCTCAGACTGACCCTGGAGTGCCAATCGTTTATGCTGGTTTTGGCGCTCTAATGCTCACGACTTGCATCAGCTTTTTATCGTATGCCCAGGTAATTACTTTCTCCTTCATTGCAGGCTTGGCTATTGTTTGTGTGGGGAAACTTGAACTCCATATTAATCTTTAGCTAGGTTTCAAAATAAGTTGTTTTTGGTTGCAACTACAAGGGCCTTCTATGTTATTCAAAATGATGATGTCAATTTTCCATTGTTGAACCTCTTACAATTGCCTGTATAGAAATGTTGATTCTTCTTAAACATTTCCATGTATTTTCTCCGGTATCTACTCCAATCAACTGAAAGATATGGGCCTTACAAGATGGAACAACAGTGGTTATTGGAGGCAAGACTAATCGAGCCAAGGTTGAATTTCCGGAGGATATGAACCGTCTACTCGATCGTGTCCCAGAAATTGTGTCATCATCTCAATCTATGCCATCTGATAACATTAGTGGCTAGCTTAGAGGCATCATGATGGAATACAGAGCATTTCAACTGCTATTTTAAAATTTGAAAGGTGGAACCAGGAAATTACCTTCCGGAAAAAAAAATACCTGGAAATCATTCAAGTTCTTCAATAACCAGTTCAGAATTCAGAGAACATCACAGGGATCGAGAGGATATGAGAATAAGCACACAGAGTTGTATATTATTGAATTTGCAAATAGAAACCGGGATGCCGTTTTGGTTGCACTGTTGCAAATTGTTTCATAGAGCAAATTCTTGACACTTAAAGATAGAGCATTGGAATGTGCAGTTGCTGGCATTATTTGATACTTTATGTCAGGTCTTTCAGTTTATTTGTTATGCAGATGTATATTTACAGATTATTGTGATGAGCTATACATGACAGATTTACAGACAATGGAAGAATAATATGAATAAACTCTACAAATATAGTCAATTGTGTTTAGTTTTGTTTACATAGTTCCAATCATTCATTGTAGTATGCTTTATCTCTACTGATTAATGATCCTCCTTTTCAGTTGCCTACAACTCTTTCCTGACAAATTTCTTGCTCTACATAGTCATAGGATGTGTTCTATATTTCTTGATAACATATCCATCCCATCAATATAGACATGATACATCTATAATGCAGCCTCGTATCGCATTTGTTTTTTTTTTCTTTGAATCAAAATTATTGTCCCCTGTGAATGAACTTAAATTTTTTGACTTCATATTGAGGAGCTTTATTAATTCCCACGTCTAATTCGAAACAATGCCATCTGCCAGCAACTCATACTATGCTATATCAAATTTAGTGCCAGAAAATTATGACTGCATTGGAGGTGCAATGTTGATTCTTCACACTGCTGGAATTGGCTTTGAGGGGGGGTGTTTAAAACTCCCAGGAAGTGTTGAAAGGCTGGTTGCTACGTACCTTCTTTGACCCTGCAAACTGCTAGGTTCCAATGGATTTTACAATCAGGAGTGCAAATGTTACTACCTACATAGTTTGTGTCGGCTCGGAAAACCGAAACATTTTAGAATTAAAACAATTCTGAACTTTGATTCCAAAATATTGGTCAAAACATTCAAAGTTGTAAGAATCCGTGAGTTTAATCAAAGATTTATTTCAATTTTCACCAAAATTGAAACTTTGGGTCATTATAAAGAAAACAAAAACGGAAAGTTTGATCTTTGGAGGAGTGGTTGGTCTGCCATTACAGGTGAAATTCACTTAACCAATCATGGTCATGGAGAGAATGCATAAACGATTTGAATTGACTTTTGTGGCGAGGCTTAACTCTAACTGATAATAAATTCGTATTCCCACCAACATTTTGAATTGACTTTTGATTTTGTATCTTTGACATTTTGTATGTGTTGGTGGTAGGTTCTGGGGGTGTGGGTTGGGGGGGTAATAGCCAGCTATTTCGAGCTGCTTTCATATTTTTCAGTCAGCGTTTGTTAGTCCAGCCCCAATAAATGATGAATTAATTATAATAAAGTGGCTAAGTATTTTAAAAGAAAAGGTTGTAAGATAATTACAATTATTCCTCACGTTTGTAAGTCAATGGATTGGATTGGATTTCATTTGATTTAAATTTCAATCCACTTAAAAAGTTTGGATGTGGCAATAATTTATATTCGAATCCGTTAAAATATGTTTTAAAAGTCAATTTTGCATGAATAAATCAATATGATGAATTGTAACATGTTACACCTAAATTTCAAAAACTAATCAAATTAATTTCACAATAAATTCATGGCTTTATATTCATATGATTTGGATTGAACCATGATCAAATAGGTTAATATCATATATTTAAAATTTGAATGATCAATCAAAAATATTAGTCTATATTCAATTAATTTGATTTGCATTCAGAATGTGTTCAAATTTAAATCCGATCTATTCACAAATCTAATTTCAATATGACACCAATAGTCCCTGAAGTTTAATGTTAATCACACTTTGAAACTTAGTAGTTTGTGGGGTACGTGATATTTTTTCATTGATATTGTCATGTGTAAGGCACGTGATATTTTTCGATTATTTTTTAAACGGCAGTTAGGATCAAGGACCACGTTGGTCGAATGTATAAATTTTAAGGATTAAATTGACAAAGTTAAAAATTTGAAGATGAAAACGACAAGCCTCAACGACTATCGATGCAACTTACTTTTTTTTTTTTTTAATGTTTATTCTGTTATTATTTTTTCTATTTTACTTTTAATGGAGAATTTTTGGAATCCCATTTTTATTTTATTTTCTACAGGTGTCCAGCCTTGCGTGTTACCACTACTTCCTCAGCAGCAGCTGGCCACCGTTTTGGAATCGCATTTTTAACGGCAGTAATCATATTCTAATAACCTACGTTTACCAATTGCTACGACACTTAAACAGGACGCACGATACCTCCATTTTTAGTATACAGACAGGGAGAGAGAGAAGCACAAAAGCTATGGGAGTAGAAGGCAAGGAGAGAGAGAGAGAGTCTGCAATGGAGGCAAAGGCACCATTGGAGATCGAAAGACAGATTGATCAGTCTGTGGGTCGGCAAAAGATATGTGAAAAATGTTGGAATGAATCGAAAAACATGTGGAAGATCGCAGCCCCGGCTATACTTACGGCTGTGTCTCAGTTCTCTATTGGGTTTGTCACATCCGCATTTGTTGGGCACTTGGGAGAGGTAGAACTTGCTGCTGTGTCCGTCGTTCAGAATGTGATCGAAGGCTTCGTTTTTGGAGTCATGGTACGTACGCACGTACTACGTAGTATCTGTCAATGTCTGGTTATGTTCTCGATGTCATTTAAGAATCATTTTTTAATAATAATTCCTATAGTTGTTGTAATCAAAACAGATAGTCTGAATTGTAAGAATCAATTTGACCATACCCAGATATTGTGTTTTTTTTTCTTTTTTTTCTGTTCTTTGTTTGTTTGAGTGTTTAAATTAGTGATGATAAACTGACTCTGCAATGTTTATGTGAATTGGGTGGTGATTAGTTAGGAATGGGAAGTGCCCTCGAGACACTTTGTGGCCAAGCAGTTGGTGCAGGACAATTCGAAATGCTTGGAATCTACATGCAAAGATCATGTATTATCACTCTAGTTACAGCTTTGTTTCTAGCACCCTTTTATATCTTCACTTCGCCGTTATTGAAACTCCTTCATCAGAGTAAAAGTATTTCAGAGCTTGCTGGGAAGTATGCAATTTGGGTGATTCCACAATTGTTTGCTTATGCGCTGAACTTTCCCATTCAAAAGTTTCTCCAAGCTCAAAGTAAAATCTGGGTTATGACTGTGATTTCTTTAGTGGTTTTGGCACTTCATGTGCTGCTCAATTGGGTGTTTGTGATAAAGCTTGGGCATGGTCTCCTTGGTGCTGCTATAGTTGAGAACATCTCATGGTGGCTCTTGGTTTTGGCTCAAATGGTTTATGTGGTCTCAGGGTTTTTCCCAGAGGCATGGACTGGATTTTCTTTATTGGCATTCAAATCCTTAGCTGGTTTCTTGAAGTTGTCACTTGCCTCGGCTGTCATGCTGTGGTAAGTCCTGATATCTCGAATTTGAGTGAGAAACAATATTCTGATTTTGCTGTCATGATGCCAATTATGCAATCTCATGGCAGCTTGGAGCTATGGTATTACTCTATAGTGATTCTTTTGGTTGGGTGGTTAAAGAATCCAGAAATTGCAGTAGATGCCATTTCAATCTGGTTAGTCCTTTGTGTCTTCTATTTCCATCATTTTATAAGTTGTTTACTCTTGAGGGCATGTGTATCTAATTTTTTCTTTTGGTCCTTGGTTTGCTTTCTTTATCAATTTTCATGGTGATATGGCAGCATGAACTTGGAAATTTGGACCCTCATGATCACTCTGGGTTTTAATGCTGCAGTCAGGTTAGATATTTTCTCATTTCAAAAATACTAAACGGTAGTCAATTTTGAGCGATTCAATTAAGGAGTCTTCTTATCTTTTAGATAAATTTATTAATTACTCACAATTTGTGGAAGTTTTGGATAATGCACACAACAGAGTATACGAGCTACATGAACCTATTCATTCATTCCTGGTGAAAATGTTGTTTAAACATTGAAAATTTTCCAGTTTAGAAAATTTCCACAAAAGGATTACAGGTTGATTGCATTACATATCATTGCAGTCTATTTGAAAGCATGACTGAAGAAAACGAAAAGGAATAAATTACAATTTTGAGTGTATGTGCGATTTTCTTGCAGCGTGCGTGTTTCCAATGAACTTGGAGCTAATAATCCGAAAGCTGCAAAATTCTCCGTAGTGGTGGCTGTGGTCACGTCAACGTTTTTTGGGTATTATTCACAATTGCCATTGTTGCAGCTAAGAGCTCTTTTCCCAAAATGTTTTCTGGAAAACCTGAAGTCATAAAGGAGGCATCAAAATTGGGATATTTTTTGGCAGCAACCATCCTCCTCAACAGCATTCAACCTGTACTTCATGGTAACTCCTCAATTGATGATG